GGAGTTGGCAGATGTGATTGCAAAGTTACTGGCCATCACCTTTGAAAACTCATGACAATCAGGAGAGGTCCTGGAAGATTGGAAAAGGGCAAACATAGTGTCCATATTTAAGAAAGGGAAAAGGGAGGATCCAGGGAACTACAGGCCAGTCAGCCTCACCTCAGTCCATGGAAAAATCATGAAGAAGATTCTCAAGGAATCCATTTCTAAGCACTTGGAGGAGAAAAGGGTGATTAGGAACAGTCCGCATGGATTCACCATGGGCCAGACATGCCTGACCCACCTGATTGCCTTCTATGTCGAGGTGACTGGCTCTGTGGATGCAGGGAGACCAGTGGATGTGGTATACCTTGATTTTTAGTAAGGCTTTTGATACAATCTCCCACAACACTCTCGCAGGCAAACTAAGGAAGTACGGGCTGGATGAATGGACCATAAGGTGAATAGAAAACTGGCTGGAGTATTGTGTTCAGACTGTAATCAATGGCTCAATGTCTAGTTGGCAGCCAGTATCAAGTGGAGTGCCCCAGGGTGTGGTCCTGGGACTGGTTTTGTTCAAAGTCTTCTTCAAAGGCCTGGAAGATGGCATAGAGTGCGCCCTCAGCAAGTTGGCAGATGACATCAAGCTGTGGGGAGTAGTAGATATGCTGGAGGGTAGGGCTAGGATTCAGAGTGACCTAGACAAATTGGAGGATTGGGACAAAAGGAATCTCATGAGGTTCAAAAAGTGCAAGTGTAAAGTCCTGCACAATTTCTTTTCTTGGCACATTACTGTCTGGCTTAAATATACTCAGTGGAAAAACTAAGCCCAAGAAACTCCTTATTCAAGGAAAATGGCACATTTTATGGCAGGAACTGTAGACGTAAGCAGCCCAGGTCAACCTCAACTCTGACCCCTTCACGCAAATATGTGTGTGCCAAATTGTGGAATACAGCAAACAATCAAGACCAAGCTGCCTGCCAGGGATATCACAGGTAGTTCAGGGGAAGATATTAGGCTTCACAATGGCAGCAAACATACTCCATAGCTGCTACCACTATCTCAGAGGTGAACTGCCAGGGTATTTGCATTTACACCTCCACCAGCCTCCCTACCCTTTTTCTGGGACAATATGTGCCTCCAAGGAGCACAACTGCATTGTGTACAAGCAGCCTCTGCTGGGTCTGCAATGTGCCTTCCCACATCTACACTGGAATTTCACTGGTTCAAATGAGTTACAGCTATCTATAAATGCAGAGGTGGGGCAGGTTTTACCAGGATTTGGGTGTGTTATAAGAAACTTTCATGATGTTGGCTTCCCCCTGTATAGTAAAACAAACATGACCCCTACTTGAAGATTCTGGAAAATACAGACCTCCTTGACTCCTCCCTAGTGATTAGCAAACTCTGGAAGATTCATGTGGAAATGCTCAGAAACTAATTTCAAAGTTGATCCCAAACTTGGAGGATCCTTTTGTGCATTTTCTTCTGCACAGCACAAGCTCCTGCCCCACCTGCCTCTTATACTTGGGGCTTCTTAGCTTTGTTCTTTAAGGAGGCAACCAGAAACCAACTTGTCCTTTTTGAGAAGTCCTTCTCAAGGAGTGTTCCCAGAGTCCTTGGAAGGATATGTGTAGGGGTCTGCCTAATTCAAGGAGGCGGCTGTCTGATTTCATGGGAAGATTGCGGGGCCAGACACTATATTTACAGGCTGATTGTGGCAGGCCCCCATGCCAATGATTGGCTGCAAAAGTGAGGGGTGGGGTCCCTATTATTATTTTGGGATCTCGCGATTGCATGGACATTACCTGCTTTCATGGGCAATGCCAGATTTCACTGTTTCCGGGAAATCCGCAAAATCATTATTTTAGTATGTCTCTAGAGATGTGACTCTAGACAGATGTAGGG